AATAATTATAAAAATTTTTATAAATAATATATGCAAATTTTATTAATATTAAATTTGAATATTGAAATTCTATTTGTATACTAGGTGTATACTTCAAAATTTTTATTATATAATAGTTTTTGGGGTTCTAACAAAAAATATTTCTTGCAAAATTTTAGTATAAACTATAACCTTCTCTAACCTAAAGCTACCCTCACCCTCTCCTTAAGCTATACTAATTTTTCGTTTATAATTTATATATTACACAAATTCATAAATCAATAAATTAGTGTGTGTGTATATACACATGTGTAAATTAAGAAATTTTATTAATATATTACACCCTATAAAAACTAGTTCAACTCACTTCACCAACAATTATTTCGTATAAATAATATTTTACCAACAACAATTCACTGACATATTATTTCACAACATTTCACCAATAATTTATTTCACCGAAACTTATTACATAGACAAAATAATTCTAGTCATTGTTGTTAGGGTCAGTTTAGAATTAAAGCTTAGTAGTATTTATAAAAAAAAAGTTGTAATGAAATAAGCTTTGTTGAAATAAATTGTTGCAAATAAACTTGTCTACGAAATAATTGTTGGTGAAATAAACATGTTGTTGAATTTTTGTTGGTGAAATGTTATGCTTACAAAATGAGTATCAGTGAAGTAATATGTATCCATAAAAACTAGTAAATATGCAAATTAAAATGATAAATTAACTCATTAGTTTAGAATCAAAGTTAAAGTTGAAATAGAATGTCAATAAAAAATTTTTAATAAAAATTTAATAAATAATTTGGTTTTGTAAGAATGCAAGAGATGGTTTATAAACAAAATTTCATGTTACAGTTAATTTTTTGAAAAACATGCAATCACTTCGATTTTATATAGCACCTGATTCTGTATTCTAATTGACTAACTAGAGGTGGTAATATATTACACTGGTAATAAATTATAAAATTTTTATAATAATCGTTAAAAATTAATAAAATACTTTTGCTATTTTTAATTAAATTAAGAATATTGATGTGGTCATCACCGGGGTGCTAATCTCAAAAAACTAACTCTAATTAAAATTTGATTTTTATATCTGATCCTTTCCTTACCCTAAAACTGCACCCTAACCCTAAAAATAGAGGCGGTAATGACCACCATCGCCTATTTGTACAAAAAATTCTAAAATGAATCATTAGTTTTTACCTAAATTTTGATATAATAATTACAAGAGTATAAAAAGATATAAATATAATATTCTATTTATCCTTAAAATTTCAATGCAATAGAGCTTGATGATAACAAGTTACGTTGGGAAATATTCTTTTCAGAAACTGTACTATTTCTAGGTTTAATTTTACTAGTAAAGTGTAATACACTTTTTAGAAATTTCATTCCAAAATTGCCTATTCCCAATTTATCTAATTCACTGACTATAAAAAAGATTGCAAAACAATGTAAGATATGATAATATAAAGTGATAATAATTAAAAAATTAAATGTATCATTTTATTTATTACCTTGATATTCAGAATCACCGTCACATAAAACAGAATTACCGTCGCATGAAATAAACCTACTTTTATAATTTCCAAAATCTACTTGCATATCTTTATTTTTATATTTCGTAATTTTTTATCTGATTCAGTTAGTTCTGATAAAATATATTTACTATTCTGCCATGTAAAAATATCACAAATTTCTTTTGCAGTTGGTTGTTCTTCTGGTCTCATATTCCAACATTGTTTCATTAAATATGCATAGTATTTTGCTGTATGTTCATTAATATGTGGTTGTAAACCATTAAGAATTTGTAATTAAAGTTGAAATTGAGTTTTTTACTCAAAAGGTACAGGGTTACCATATAAAATTTCCCACATGATTATGCCACATGAGTAAATATCGGATGCTTTAGTATATGACCGTTTGCCTAACACTTCCAGAGCAATGTATGGTAAAATTCTATAAACTTCACTAAATTCTGGTTTTAAAGCAATATTGGCAGCAATTGAAAGTCCCAAGTCAGCAATATATGCACTTTTCAAATTATTAAGCAGCAGTATATTTCCGCTATGTAAATCTCGGTGAATTAGATCATGAGAATGCATTATCCAAAGATCATTTGCAATACAGTCGGGAATATACCAAATTTGGAAATCAGGTTCTAGAAGGATCTAGAAACAGGTTCGTGCATTTGATTGGTCACCATACTTTTTTTATGCACATATTCGTGCTAGGGGTTTACAAGATTTCATATATCCATTTGTTACTAAACGATATACGAATAG